CCCACATCCGTATTCACACACCGACATTATACACCGACTCACACCCATACCCTTAAGAAAGTGCGTTATTACGAAAGAGTGAGAGTATCTATGAGAATAAGATTCACATCCACTCCTATACACCCATCAATATATACATCCATATCCCTTCTTACTGAAGTTACCTGTGTCAATAAAATTATAAGCATACGACATGTTTTCAACTTGCTCAGCAACGAAATGGCAACCTTTTCGGGAAATTAATTCCATCAAGCCTGGCAGAACAAAAGTATGCGCTGCATCAAAGATGAATTCATGTTTGTATTTGCTTTTCTGTTCTTTATAAAATAAATATTCTCTCTGCAACTATGGTTTCAAGTGCCACATTGATCTTGAGTTGTAAACATAGTGTTTTGGATTCAGAATTTTTCTTCGTCTTGTGTAAATAAGAAAAAAGTGAACATGCACACAATCACTACTTAACGTTGTCAGACGAAATAAGCAGGTATGTAAAATGCTATCTGAAACTTGCTCAAAACAAGAGTGTTGAAACAATGCAACACTGAATAAGACTGCCCAGGTCAAACAATCAGACAGTAAGATCTTACAAGATCATACCTCTGATCTTATATGATCTTGTAAGATCAGATGAAAATCGTACAGAAAATCGTCGTCTCAGAATCCTTTTGATAAGTCGTATTATAAAGTTCTTGAAAGACTCTATTACCTTGTTAGATCTTACTAGGGGTGGGTGTGGGGTGTGAAATGTGGGCGTGGATGTGGGTGTGGGTGTGTGACAAAGAACATCAACACACCCACCCACACCCCACACGCACCCACACTCACACGCACACACCCCACACACCCACACCCACACCCACACTCCACACCACGCCCACACCCCACACGCACCCGCACCCACACCCCACACGCACCCACACGCACACCCCACCCACACCCACACCCACACACTCACACCCCACACCCACACTCCACACCACGCACCCACATCCACCCACACCCACACGCCCACACCTCACACCCACCCACACCCACACCCTGATTGGCATAGGTAGAAGATCATAAGAGAGAGTGCCAAAGCCTAGTCAGTGTCAGAAAACATTACAAGTAGTAATAGATGTTGGCGATATGAGATCACAGATCGAAACGGGCCCGGAATATATAAAGTAAAATAGTCTTCCTAGATTTAACAGCAGGAGACGCATGGCAATTAACAGTTTAATTCTGCACGGATTGCGTTTAACGCTTTTTTTGCTATGAATTTTAAAAGCAGACATAATTGCTTTTTTGAGCATACTGAGAATAAATATGTTTCAAAATTGTCAATTACTATGGCTATGACTTTTCATGTAGATAATACTGTTACATGACCACTTTATGGTACAAACCTTCGAAGAATGCGCAGCGATGGTTCTATGATGCGCGCATCAATCCTTGGGTAGATGATGTTATACAGGAAGATGACTGGGCCCCTTACAATGACATACAAAACGAAATGATTGAATCAGCTTACATGAACAAAAAGTCTCAAGTTGAACTCGATGATTATACAATCGACTTTAATGATATGATCCAATATAACGCAACTGATGGTGAAAAACAACGTCGAGTGTGCCGTGTATTCGGAAATACGCCGGAAATGATGATCCATCCGAATGGGACAAGATTGAATGCACCACGTTATTTTGGTCGTAACAAGAAGGAAGCCAGTCGTTTTTTGGCTCCTTCAGAGTTAATACCTAAAACTTTTGGTGAATGTGATATTTCACAAATTCCATTGGTAGAAGAATGGGTCAAGAAAAATCC